CCCCCAGTCGCCCCTGCTCCCTCAGCCTGGAGACCCGCATTAACCGTGATGGGCAGCAGCAGAGTGTGAAAGCCCAGCCGCTGGGCCTCAGGACCATCCTGAGGGTGACACTCAGAGCCCCACGGGAGCAGGCGCATACCCTCCGCAGGAACCTCGCTGGAAGTCGTGTCTTCCCGGCACCTCCTTTCCCTGTCTCCCCACTCCCTCCCCAATGTCCCCCGGCTGCCTGTCCTTCATCAGCCACTCCCACGTGAAGCCTCCTCACAGGATGTGCTCCTGGGGCTCTTGGTCTAACAGTGGTCAGCAAACTGCGGCTCGCGAGCCACATGCGGCTCTTTGGCCCCTTGAGTGTGGCTCTTCCACAAAATACCGACTACTGCGCATGGGCCACGAAGTTTCAATCGCACTGTACGTGCGCGCCTGCACGTGGTATTTTGTGGAAGAGCCACACTCAAGGGGCCAAAGAGCCGCATGTGGCTCGCGAGCTGCAGTTTGCCGACCACAGTTTGCCGACCACGGGTCTAGAACAATCTGCATTCTGGATGAGAGCCATGCGGCAGGTCGCCCCCATGAAGGCCCATGACTGGGCGTGTCTTCCGTCCAGACCACGGACACCAAAGCGGGTGTGACGACTAGGTGATCCGTTGAGATGTGGGAAGAACAGCTCAGTTTGTTCATTTCAAGTTTTGCTGATCGCGCCCTTTAATATTTTCTAGGTTTGTGCGTGTTTCATCATGAAGATAATTTTAGGACAATGATAGAAATGAAAATGAAATCATTTTAACCTAACTATGGGTTGAGCGCTCAATATGTTTTTATTAATAGGAACTGAGATGAAATATTTGAACACAGAGGCGGCTGACCTGCTGGTGGAGGTTGCGTGTGTCCTTGGAGAAGAGGAGATGGAACTGCCGCAGGCCTTTCCCATTCAAAACAAGCCCCGCCCCTCTCACTGTTCCTTCCGGCTTCATCTCTCTGCCCCCACGTCGTTTCTGTTGCTTTTCTTTGGGCTCGCGCCAAGTTCCACAGTCCTGGCATTAATTGTAAGGCCCGATATTCCTATAATTGCAGGGTAAGTATTTTTGTGCAGATCACAAGCCTGACCTCCTTTGTTATTTCGTTTGAGCTGGATCCTCTGTGGACAAAGGGAGAGGCATGAAATAAGTAAATATTTAATTCAGGAGAAGCCTGCGGCTTCGCAATGTTTTCCCGTTCACTCGGCGTTGGCCCACATCTGGCCGTTGCTTCCCTGGGGCTCTGGGCCGTGCCCTGCGACGAAGGACTGGCCGCCCCAGGAACTCCGCGCTCCTCTTAGCAGCACCTTGAAGAGGGCTCTGAGCGCGTGGGCCACTGGGCGCCTAGGAAATGACTGCACAGCAAATTGAAATCAATGAACAGAAATAAATGCTTCGACATTTGCAGGTACTCTTCACAGACACATTAACGATGCTGCTGCCATCAGCAGCTCCTGAAAATCCCCCCCTTCTCTCTCTCTCTCTCTCTCTCTCTCTCTCTCTCTCCTGCCAGTGGGAGGTCCAGGGCCAGAGAGGAGACTCATGGGCTGGGGCAGGTGCCCAGGTTAAGGACTGAGGTGGGAAAGGAGCGGGGAGGGGAGGCAGGTGCAGGCAGGAGTATCCTCAGGCAGAGGCAGGATGCGGTGAGGCTGTTCAGAGGCTGGAGGTAGGACCTACTTGGTGATACGGGAAGTCGTGGGCATCAGAGACGTAAGAGGCAGAAATAGGTGATATTCACAGGCAGCTGGTGTTTGGGAAAACATATTCCGCCCCTGATCTGCGATGCTGTGGGCACTCACCTTCACCCAATGCGCTCAGTGTGTGAGTTTTCTAGCCACTACGTCCTCTGTGACCAGTGGTTCCAATGGGAGACTGAGCTCTGTTATCACAGGGCTGAGAAGCTTTTTGGAGCCATCTGGTCCACCTGCCCTCAGTTGTAACGTGCCTGCACCAACTGACACGTTAGCATTTAGACTACAAAAAATAGAAATTAATGAGACTGAGAAATGACATATAACCAAAGGTGTGAACACTGTTGCAATTTAAAGACCGTATTAACATTCCATTACACAGTAAGGTCCTGGATGTCAGAGAACTTGTTTTAAATGAATTCTGTTAGTTACTAGATAGTAGAGGAAGCTCCAAAATTTTATTAAACGATAGCAATGATAGGCAAGATATTTGAGCACTTAAGATACAAAATGATTTAAAGAACTTTAGATGAAGTCCTTATTCAGTAGAATTATCTCCGAGCAAAAATGCCTCAATTTTGTGTAGATTTATACTTTGACAAATTCCAAGAAGTGAATATTTATCCATCTGTCTATCCATGTTACATGGGCCAGGCACTGTGCAAGCCACGGGAGATGCACAGAGGGTAAGACGTTCTTAGAGTCAGGGAGTTCAGGTTGTAGTGGAACAGCTTTGGATTATGCCTTCAATTCAAACCCAAGTACATTTTGGCTGAGTGCGCCAGTGGATGAAAGAAGACCTTAGGGGACAAGCCACTCCAAGCAAGAAGAGCAACTTGTTTTGCCTGATTTTCTCCTCCTGAATTCCCCCCCCCACCCCAGCCATCTATACTAATAAAAGGGTAATACACTAATTAGACCAGATGTCTTCCAGACATCATTCCGGATGTCCTTCTTGACAAAGCTGGGGTCCGGGGGAAGCCAGCTGGGTCCTGGGTGCCTAAGGGCGGCAGGAGGAGTAAAGCCTGGGTCCCGGGTGCCGGAGGGAAGCTGGTGCTGGCAGCCGGGGGAAGGAAGGCCTGCCTACTCTTGCACAAATTTTCGTGCATCAGGCCTCTTGTGTTTTTATACTTATTTCCATCAGACCCAGTCCCCAGAAGTTCACTATTCTCCTGTCTCTCCAGGCCTATTGTTGACACAGCCCTTTCTCTTTCCTCCTTGGAAAAGTGGGCACACAACCACAAAAGCTAAGGAAAAAAAGAAATCCTAAAATGTAAATATTTAAAAGCACATAAAACTATCTACTCATGGAGTAAGATTTCCCTGTCTCAAGAATTCTAATAAGAGACTCTGAGCTGCTCAGCACACAGCCTCTCTTCAGTCTAAGGTCATATCACTCTAGGTCAGTGGTTCTCAACCCTCCTAATGCTGCGACCCTTTAATGCAGTTCCTCATGTTGTGGTGACCCCCAACCATAAAATTATTTTCGTTGCTACTTCATCACTGTAATTTTGCTACTGTTATGAGTCATCATGTAAATATCTGATATGCAGGATGTATTTTCATTGTTACAAATTGAACATAATTAAAGCATAGTGATTAATCACAAAAACAATATGTAATTATATATGTGTTTTCCGATGGTCTTAGGCGACCCCTGTGAAAGGGTCGTTCGACCCCCAAAGGGGTCGCGACCCACAGGTTGAGAAGTGCTGCTCTAGGTGCTTTCCGATGGCCACTGCCTATAGGCAGGCTGCCTGGCTTCCTTTCCTTTCAGCTCCTGTCTTCTTGTCCTTATAAGCTCTTGGCTTGGTCACATATATCAGTCAGCATTTGCTGTGTAAGAAGCAGCCACACAATCTCAGTGGCACGATCATAAGCATTTCTTTCTCTCACATATGTGAGTTGACTGGTGTGCCTCTAGTGTTAATCTAGACTGGACTAGCTGGGCTGGGCTCTAGCTGCAAATGGGTCTAGATCTGCTCTACATGTTTCCTATGCTCCTTGGACCAGTGGAACACATTCTTCCACTGGCAATGGCAGAGGCACAAGGAGGTAAACAGGCACAAGTGAAGCCTCTTAAGGCCTAGGCTCAGGGCCAACACTCAGTTACTTCCAGTTCCATCCCATTGACCAAAGCAAGTCATATAGCCAAGTCCAAAGTCAAGTTAGGGGAAGTAGAATAGACTGCAGAGTTATATGACAAAGGGTGTGGATACAGGAAAAGGGGAAACATTGGGTCTAAGAATTTATGTTACCATAAGGCAGCGGTTCTCAACCTGTGGGTCGCGACCCCTTTGGCAGTGGAACGACCCTTTCACAGGGGTCGCCTAAGACCATCCTGCATATCAGATATTTACATGATGATTCATAACAGTAGCAACATTACAGTGATGAAGTAGCAACGAAAATAATTTTATGGTTGGGGGTCACCACAACATGAGGAACTGTATTTAAAGGGCCAGAAGGTTGAGAACCACTGCCATAAGGGGAAATAGAAAATGTCAAAAGTGAATATATAGTACATAGGTTTTTCTAATGTCACAACTCCAAGTGTAGGTGATTGGTTATGTCCTATTTTATTTCATTTTCATCTTTATTGAGGTATAATTGACAAATAAGATAGTAAGATATTTAAAGTGTGCAATGTGATGGTTTGCTGTATGTATAACATTGTGAAAAGCTTCCTCCCACTGAGTTCATTCACTGCTATGACCCATTTTAAAAAGCAACCACTGAGGTGTAAGCAACTAAGTGACTTGGCTAGAGTTTCCCAACCTCTCCGTACGGCACAGTGTCATGGCCCAGGAGTAAGTGCCCTGTCCTCTCAGCCTCTGAACAGATCCAGACCCACTTTCCCATTTCCAATGGCCTCCCTGCCCCCAGGGCACTCTCTCTTCCAAGTGGGCGGTTCATTTGCATAGCGGAAGTGCTGAACGTCTGTTGAACCCTAGGAAAGCTCAGCCCTGCAGGCCTCGGTTGCTTTGCTCTGTTCTCTCCTGTAGCATTTTGTGTAGCTCCCCCCATAGGAATTGTTTGCAAAGCTCCGACATTATTATCCATAATGTATAAAGCCCTCAAACATTTATTGATTGGCATTAATACAACATGTAGTAAAATGCAGGGTCATTCTGTCACATGGGTTGAAATGTTCGGGGCATAAATTAGCTTTATAACTATCTGGCAAAAGCTTGTTAACATTACAGTGGCCTTTCATCAGCCTCTGGGCTCTGTGGTTTGGAGTCTTCACTTCTATTTGAGGCCTTTTCATTTTATCTACATGTATTTGTGTAAAATGGTTGCCTTTCAAGTTTACTTTTACTTGTTTATCAGTGAAGGGAAAATCACAGCTTTTAGCATTGGCATTGGATTGTCAATGAGAGATTGAATTGTTATATCAGAAGTAGTGCACCTTCCTTTGAAAATAATGGTTTTTATTTTTGTCATCCTCTCTATGGGTATAATTTAAACAGTGAAATAGTTCTATAGGCTTTTTATGAACAAACAAGTCTGGCAAACCTCTCCCCCTCCTCCTTCATCTCCTTTGGATATGTCTTTGGATAGTTACCTCTCTAACTTTACCATACTTATTCTGCTACTTCATGATTTTTTAGTTTTTAGCATTATCTTTTCATTCGTATTGACTTTCTATGGTGGAAAAGGAGTATTTAGTTCTCTTTCACTACCACCATCTATATTCACTCTCCTTTGCCTCGCTCTCAAAATTATAGTTTAGGTTAGATCAATATTAAGCATCCACATTATTGTGACTATGAAAATAATATTCATAGCTGAGCCATTTAGAATACTGTCTGCTGACCCATGACTATCCCTTCATATTGAATTACTCAGCATTTTCAGATCTTTCTCTTGAGCTGGCCATAATCCCCAAAGTAGGGCACTCCAGTGTCCTACCTGGGGGTAGATAAGTCTGCATGCCATGTTTCTGAAAGCTGGTGAGGAAAACAGGTCTCTCTGATATTTAGAATATTGACTTCACTTAACCTCTTTTCCAGATGGTCCCCACACCATCATCTCTAATCTGTCTGGTACCTTTCTATCCAGACAACTTCATTGTTATGCTCTGTAGGGGCTATTTGTCCCATGGGAGTGTCAGTGGCCGGTCTGTAGAAAGGAGAGCAGGGGACCCAGAGTGGTCTTCTAAACAGACTTTCAACCAATTCTCTCTTCGGCCCCACATTGACCTCTGTTTCTAGAGGCATCTGGTAGCATCCATTTCTGGATATTTGGGCAGTTCTATGATACACATGAAGTTCTAGAATCTTCCCAACCCTACTGCCTGCTTAGTATTTACTTTCTCAAGTTTGCTAAGTTAGTTACCACCAGTTCAGATGCTTTCTAAAACTTACCTCTCATTTTCTCTGCCTTTGTGGCTTTGTCTTCTAAAAATTCATTTTCTGTTTTTAGTGATGCTTCAAGAGAAAGCAGAGGCAAATGTGTGTGTTCAGCCCTCCATCTTTAAGCAGAAGTCTCCATTGGACTTATATTTTAGATGCAAAGATGTACTAGAAATTCTACCTTGAATACCTCTAGTCAATTTGCCCCTTCGTCTGACTGTCTTACTTCCATTAGATCGTAAATATTTTTTTTCTCTAATTTAGTTATTATTATCCAGAGATAGGGCATTGCTAATGGTCCTGAAAGTACTCATGTAGAAGTTAATGAAAGGAAGGAAGGAAGGATAGAAGAAAGGGAGGAAGGAATAAAGGAAGACTATAAGGTCCTGAAGTGGGAAAAATTATGCCAGATAAATAAGACAAATGGTGACCATTTGATGAATTAGTTGGGCCTCGAGCAGTGCACTGATGCCTTACTTTTCACAACTCTGAGTGGCCAGCACATTAAGAGAGTCAGATATCCCACCAAATCCTCCTTTTACCTCCTCGATTTCTGATGGTTTGCTGAGAAGCAAATTTCTCCAAAGCCTAGTTTCCTATGGCTATATTAATGTGAAATGTAATAATACATAACTGTAAACTAGTTTATGTGATTCCCAAATGAATGAGTAGGGGGAAGGTAATTTATTATCAATTTGCATCAAATTTCAGTTAATGTAAAAAACGCAAAGCTTATTTTAATATACTTATTTCTGGGAAAGGCTTTCCATTAACCAGAGTGTCAAGTGGGGGTAACAATTTGCCTGGGGAAGAGTCTTTATGGTTTTGATGTCTGGGCTCCCTGAGAGAAACCACAGGCTTTTGGAAGGCTTTCTGGCCAAGCCCCAGGTTCAATGCACAGTGGAAAGTTGAATTTTTCAACTTCCCTGCTGGCTGTTAAAACATCATGATGAATGATGGCAATATGTCCAGTGGTCTCTTCTTGGATGACATGAGGACTAAGAGAAGGGGTCAAGCTTCGGAGGAGGCAGATATGTAGCCATGAGATACAGTAGGGGTTGGCAAACTGTGGCCCAAGGGTCAAATCCTGCTCACCAGTTGCTTTTGTAAATTATGTTTTATTGGAACGTGGCCACGCCCATCCCTTTACTTATTGTCTGTGGTGCCATGCTACAGTGGGAGAGTTCAGTAGTTGCAACAGAGGCCGTGTGGCCTGCAAAGCCAAAACTACTATCTGGCCCTTTACAGAAGAAAGCTTGCAGACTGCCTGCAAGATGGCTCTGCACGCATGTGAATGTAGTTCAGCTGCAAGTGACAGAATGTTCCCGTAACCTATCTATAATAATAAAAGCATAATATGCTACTTAGACCAGACGGCCAAACAACGTTCCAGATGTCATTCCGGATGTCCTTCCGGACGAAGCTGCGGTGGTGGGGACCGAGGCAGAGGTGGTTAGGGGCAATCAGGCAGGCAGGCAGAGTGGTTAGGGGTGATCAGGCAGACAGGCGAATGGTTAGGGGTGATCAGACAGGCAGGTGAGCAGTTAGGGGTGATCAGGCAGGCAGGCAGGTGAGCAGTTAGGAGCCAGTAGTCCTGGATTGTGAGAGGGATGTCTGACTGCTGGTTTAGGCCCGATCCCGGCTTAAACTGGCAGTCAGACATCCCCCGAGGGGTCCTGGATTGCAGGCCTGGCTGAGGGGACCCCCCCCCATGCACAGATTTCATGCACCGGGCCTCTAGTTAATATATAATGAAACACCCCAAAACTTGGTGACTCAAAAATAGCAATATTTATCTCACGAGTCTGCAATTTGAGCAGAACTTGATGGGGCAGCTCATCTCTGCTTCATGTGACAGCTGGCACTACTCAGCTTGTAACTGGACAATTCACTTTTAAGATGGCTCCCCCCATGCACAGATTTCATGCACCGGGCCTCTAGTTAATATATAATGAAACACCCCAAAACTTGGTGACTCAAAAATAGCAATATTTATCTCACGAGTCTGCAATTTGAGCAGAACTTGATGGGGCAGCTCATCTCTGCTTCATGTGACAGCTGGCACTACTCAGCTTGTAACTGGACAATTCACTTTTAAGATGGCTCACTCCAGTGGCTGGCAAGTTACTGTTGGCTGCCAGCTAGAGCTCAGCCAGGCTGGGGACCAGGGTTCTTGTTTCCTCTCCATGTAGGCCTCTCTACAGGCTGCTCAGATTTCCTCATCGCCTCGGGCCTGTGTTGTAAGGGCAAGTGTCCCAAGAGACAGGAATGAGAAGATGGCCTGTTTCTTAAGTCCTGGACCTAGAAACTGCACAGACTTCCACCATATTCTATTGGTCAAGTGGTCACAGAGCCCAGATTCAAGAGGAGACATAGACTGCACCTCTCAATGGTGGTGATGTCAAAAAATGGGGGGAGGGTATGTTTTAAAACTGCCATATAGCATATCTACCTGATAGTGGCCTAAGCAACACAAACTTTTATTTAATCTCCCATGCCAAGAAATCTGGAGCTAGCTGTTCAGAAGGTTGGTAAAGCTGTCCAATAATTTCATCAAAGGATACTCTTATTTATTCTTTTGCTCTGCAATTGTTAGCATGTTTCTTTCAACCTTTAAATCTATCAGCTCATGGTCATAGGATGGTAATTGCAGCACCAGCCTTTATGTCCCCACATAGTGAGTAGTGTCCTAATCAGGAAAGAAGAGAGTGATCAGAAAGAAAACTTCCTGAAATGTTTTCCTTCATATTAAGAAGCACCCGGCAGACTTCTAGTTAGGTCTCTTATTTGGAACTAGGGGCCCAGTGCACGGATTCATGCACGTTGAAAAGAACTGTGGGCTGTGGTGGGCACAGGGGCGGGTCTTGGCCATCCTCTGTGCTCCTGCCCGGCCCCTCCCGCCATGGCCCCTGGTCCCCTGTCTGCCGGCAGCCCCACTCCCGCCACCACCACTGCGCTGACAGCTCTGGCCCTGCTCGCAATGGTGTGGAGCTATTGGGGCCAGCACCATCAGTGGGTGCGAGTGGCAGCTGCTGGCCCCGATCACCCCTCAGGAGCAGGGGGAGGTGGAGAAGCCTGAGGAGAAATCAGGGCTGGCAGCCGCCACT